AGAATCCAGGGAAATGGGATCCCTGGAGCCCCAGCGAGCCCTCCCCATCCAGAATCCAGGGAAATGGGATCCCTGGAGCCCCAGCGAGCCCTCCCCATCCAGAATCCAGGGAAATGGGATCCCTGGAGCCCCAGCGAGCCCTCCCCGGGTGGTTCCGGAGCGGGAGGAGCAGCAGGAAAAGCTCCGGGGTGAGTCCAGCTCAGGGATCAGAGCTGTGGCCCTGCCCCCAAACTCTCTGTCCTCCCACACCTCCACTGGCTTGGCTCCTCCTGTGTCACCAGAGCCCAGGGGACACTGTCCTGGCTCTGGGAGTCATGGAATCACTGAGGTTGGAAGATCTCCCAGACTGAGTCCCCCCTGTGCCCAGTGCCCCCCCTGTCACTGAGTGCCACATCCAGCCCTTCCCTGGGCACCTCCAGGGGTGGGGACTCCAAACCTCCCTGGGCAGCCCCTTCCAGTGCTTTCCATGGAGAAATTCCTCCTGATGTCCCACCTGACCCTCCCCTGGCACAGCCTGAGGCCGTTCCCTCTCCTCCTGTCCCTTGTTCCCTGGCAGCAGAGCCTGACCCCCCCCCGGCTCCCCCCTCCTGTCAGGGGGTTGCAGAGCCAGAAGGTCCCCCCTGAGCCTCCTTTTCTCCAGGCTGAGCCCCCCCAGCTCCCTCAGCTGCTCCTGCCCCTTCCCAGCTCCGTTCCCTCCCCTGCAAACGCTCCAGCCCCTCCACATCCTTCTCGTCCTGAGGGGCCCAGACCAGGACACGGCCCTCGAGTGCCCACAGGGGGACAATCCCTTCCCTGCTCCTGCTGCCACACCATCCCTGCTCCAAGCCCGGTGCCAGTGGCCTTCCTGCCCACCTGGGCACACATCCAGCTGCCAACACCAGCACCCTCAGGCCCTTCCCAGCTTTCCAGCCACAATCCCGGAGCATCCACAGGGACCCGACACTTGGCCTCGCTGCCCCTCGTTCCATCCCCTCCTCGGGGCAGCACAAAGTGCCCCACCCTGTCCCTTCAGAGGACACCTGAAGGGACACCCCAAAGCCCCAGGACCCCCCCGGGGCCCTCCCTGCTGGTTCCACACCACGGGAGCCCCCCGGCACAAGAGGTCCCCCCGAAGCAGCAGGGTCTCCCCAGGCCTCCCTCCTGCCCCTCCCTGGCACAGAGGGAGTGCCAAAGTGCCAGCCCCCAGGGCACACTCACCACTTCATGAGGAACATCAGCTCCCCGCTGGAATCCGTGGCGCCGATGATCCGCTCAGGCTCGAAGCCTCGGGCGAAACCTCGCGGCTTCTCCGACTGGAAAAGAGATGAGTTCCCACTTGGAGCGTGCCCAGGGTGACACCCATGGCCCTGCTCTGGCCCCCAGGGTGACACCCCCAGCCTTACTCTGGTCCCCAAGGTGACAGAGCCCTACTCTGGTCCCCAGGGTGACACCTCCAGCCCTGTCCTGGCCCTCAGGGTGACACCCATGGCCCTGCTCTAGTCCCCAGGGTGACAGAGCCCTGTTCTGGTCCCCAGGGTGACACAGCCCTGCTCTGGCTCCCAGGGTGACAGAGCCCTGGTCTAGTCCCCAGGACACGCTGGTGGCTGCCCAGGAAGGCTCAGCCTGCAATTCCACGGCCAGGGAGATGCTCCAAGCGCTGGAGCCCCTCTGGAGCCAGGCTGGGAGAGCTGGGGGGGTTCACCTGGAGAAGAGAAGGCTCCAGGGAGAGCTGAGAGCCCCTGGCAGGGCCTAAAGGGGCTCCAGGAGAGCTGGAGAGGGACTGGGGACAAGGGATGGAGGAACATGACATGGGGAATGGCTTCCCACTGCCAGAGGGTAGGGATAGATGGGATAGTGGGAAGGAATTCTTCCCTGGGAGGGTGGGGAGGGGCAGGGATGGAATTCTCAGAGGAGCTGTGGCTGCCCCATCCTGGGAAGTGTCCAAGGCCAGGCTGGAGCAACCTGGGACAGTGGAAGGTGTCCCTGCCCATGGCAGGGGGTGGCACTGGGTGGGCTTTAAGGTCCCTTCCCACCCAAACCATCCCATGATCCCATGCCCGAGGCCTGTGGGACCCGGGAATCCTGCTCAGGTGCCCCTCTGGAATGCCCAGCTGATGCTGCAGGAGAAGGATCTGACTCCCAAGGCCCAGTTGCTCAAAGCCCTGTGCCTGCCAAGATCCAGCAGCTCCTGGGATGGGAACCAGGCTGCAGAGCCTCTCCGTGCCCGTTTTCCCGAGCAGCCAGAGCACCAGGAGCAGGAAGCTCCATGTTCCACCTCATCCCCCTTTTCCAGAGGCAACTCCTGCCCCTGGGAGTCCAGAACCCTCCTGGGGTTCTTCAGGACAAGCTGGGGGCTGCATTCACCCTTTTTGCCTCTGGATTCACCGAGCTGAGACAGCAGCTCCTGCCTTTTTCCCAAGGCTCCAGCTTTCCAAAGCTGCCTTCCTTTGGCAATCAAAGCTCCCATTCCTTGGGAAAACCAGCTTGGAGCGGCCGTTCCAGGGATCAGCCGCTGTGCCAGGGGCAGGGGGGTGAGCCCAGCACGCCCACCCTGCCTCACCTCCTCCTTCTTCTTCTTTGGTTTGCTCTCCTCCCCCTTGTCCTCCGTGTCCGACTCCGCTTTGCGTTTGCTGCCCTCGGATTTCTCGCTCTCGTGGGCGGTTTTCTGGGATTGCAGGAATTCTGCGATGAGGTCGGGGCAGTCCAGGTTCTCCTCGGGCTCCCAGGTGTTGTCCTCGCTGCAAAGCAAACAGGGCAGCTCAGTCCTGCAGCTCCCTGCAGCTTTTTCCAGGCTGAGAAAATCCCGGGATTTCGGCCGAGGAGCGGCAGGTCGGCCCCTGGCCTGATCCCGGCGGGAATGCTGGAGGGCAGGGCAGGGATTCCCCTCCTCAGGAGAGAACTGCAGCTCATTCCTCTGGCTGCTTGTCCCTCTCTGGGAAGGGGAAGACCCCCCCAGGGCCTGTTTGCAGGGCAGAACTGGGATTTTCCCACCCCAAGCCATGAGTTTGGGGCATTTGGCAGAGCAGGATTTTCCCACCTGGAATTTGGGGTGTTGGGCACACTGGAATTTTCCCACCCTGCCCTGCTGGACTTTTGGGTGTTTGGCACACTGGGATTTTCCCATCCTGCCCTCCTGGAATTCGAGGTGTTTGGCACACGGATTTTCCCACCCAGGTTGTGATTGGAATTTGGGGTGCTTGGCACACTGGGATTTTCCCATCCTGCCCTCCTGGAATTTGGGGTGTTTGGCACACTGGAATTTTCCCACCCTGCCCTGCTGGAGTTTTGGGTGTTTGGCACACTGGGATTTTCCCACCCAGGTTGTGATTGGAATTTGGGGTGTTTGGCACACTGGGATTTTCCCATCCTGCCCTCCTGGAATTTGGGGGGTTTGGTACACTGGGATTTTCCCTGCTTTCCCTCTTTGCTCCATTCTCCACCCAAGGAGAGCCCCAGGGACACCGATCCTGCCTGGAATCTTTGGGATCCAAAGGCACAGGAGATGCTGGCACACCCCTGGCCCCCAGAGCAGCCAGCTGGAGCCACTTACTCCGAGAATCCTTTCCACTTGAGCAGATATTCCACCTTTCCCTTCACCACCCGCCGATCCAGGACCTTCTCCACCACATATTCCTCCTCCTCTTCCTCTAGGACCTCTTCCACTTTCTTCTTGTTCTGTTTTTTTCCCATTGTGCTGGCCAGCTTTTCAGCTTTCGGGCGACGCTGCTGCGAGGGGAGGGAGCCAAGGTCAGCCCTGCCTGTGCCCCCCGGGAATTCTCCGGGATGCACAGGGGCAGGGAATGCTGCCTGGGAGAGAACAGGCAGGGAAAACACAGAGGGACGGGTCAGGATGGTGCTGCCAGGCCACCAGGAATCAAAATCCCGGGATTTTGACGCAAAGCTCTGGGGTTTTTTTGCCTCTCCAGCTCCTCGTTCCACCAATTCCATGAACGCTTTTCCCACGGGAGCTGTTCCACTCCTTGTCCCTCCTCAACCTGCTCCCTTCCCTTTCCTCACCTAAAGGGTGAACTGAGTGGTTTTTATATTAACTGGAAATTAATAAATCCTTAATCCAGGTCAAATCCAAGTCCCAGCCCCTGATCCCAACCTCCCCACGCTCCTTCCTTTCCTGGATCGTGGATGGGCACTCTGGGATATTTATCCAACTCATCACCCCACAGCATGCAGGGTTTTATTTCCCCTCCTTATCTCCCAGAGCTGTTCAGTCAACCCAAAAATCCCTGGATATTCATCCAGGGCTGGCTGGGAAGGGAGAACTCTGGATTCAGAGCCAGTTGCCACCCACAGGGAAGCGTGTCCAGGTGGCCCTGGATGGGCTTTAAGGTCCTTTCCAACCCAAACCATTCCATGATCCCAAAATTCCATGACTCCATCCAGTCCCCCAGAATGAAGGGGTTTTTTTGCCTCATTCAATGAAGGAAAACAAAAAAAAAACCTCCAACCACCTGGAAAGATCCCACCAAAACTGAGCCAGAGCCTGAGAGGCTTTTCCCTCCATTCCCGGGTGGAAATACTCCCAATGGCACCTCCAATCCCCTTCCAGAGGGAAGCAAACCTGGAGCAGTGAGGCTCCTGGAGGTCTGGAGACTGGGAAGAGGAGGAGGAGGAGGAGGAGGAGGAGGAGGCAGGGCTGGCACAGCCACAGCCACAGCCGGGTGTGCAGCACAACAATGGAAAAGCCTCCGACCCTCCGGCATCTAATCCCGGCCCAGGAGCAGCAGGAAGCCCCAGGATCGTGTTTCACTCTGGAATTCCTCAGCCAGTTCCTTCCTCTCCCCTCCATCCTCCTCCTCTGGCACCACATGGCTGCTGGAGAAGCTGCTGGAGCAGGGGCTCAGAGCCCAGCAGGCCAGGGAAGAGGAGATTCCAAGGTGATTCCCAACGAGGCTCCGAAGAAAAACTCCGGGAGCGCCCGGAGGGGCGAGATCCCGGGATTGCTGCTCTCAGCAAAGGAATTCTCCTCAGCTGCAGCCAGAAGGGCTCCAGGGAAAGCTCTGTGGGCGCTGCCTGGAGATGGAGGAGCTGCTCAGGCACCTGAGGGGGCTCAGCTGGATCCGGGGAGGATTCCAGAGGCAGCAGCTGGATCCAAGACTAATGGGAGAGCCGAGGGGAGCTCAGGGAGGAGCTGCTGAAATTCCAGGGAAACAGAGAAGGAGCAACACCCCGGATCCATCATTTTCTGGAGCAGCTGGGCAGGGAAGATGCAAATCCAAGGCTGGGAGCACTTTGGGAAGGAGCTTCCCCCAGGAGGGTTGCAGGAATCTCCCCAAACCTCCCGGATATTTGGGGGTTGTCCCTTCCAGCTCCCTGAGCATCCAATCCCAATCCTGGCTGGAGATCCAGGAGGATGAGGCCACATTCCCAGAACCAGCAGGGAGCAGAGCTCCTGCACAGGCCTCTCCCTGCACTGCAGGAGAAAGGGAGAGAGGAGCTCCAAACCCTCCCTGGATTTATCCACAGAGCATCCAAGCTGCTCCACAGTGAATAATCCCATGATTATTCCCATCCACTGGGAATAATCCCATGGAATCCTCAGCCACCAACACCCAAACCCTGCAATTCTGGGCGTTGAAACAAGGCCTGATCCCTCCCTGGATGTCTGGGAAGGCAGCACGGGGGGAATCCCTCCCTCCTCTCCAGGGATTCCAAACACACCTCTCGCTCCCCCTGGGATGGAAAACGGAGCTGCTTCATTTGGGGGCATTTTTGGGAAGCACAGACGTTCCTGTTCCCTTTATCCCAACAGCCCCGTGGCTGCCCCATCCCTGGAAGTTTTCCAAGGAAAACTTGGAGCAAACCTGGGCTAATGGAAGGTGTCCCTGCCCACGGCAGGGGTTGGAACCGGGTGAGATTTAAGGTCCCTTCCGACACAAACCATTCCATGATTCCACAGAATTTGGGGCTCTCCTGCCTGAGACATCAGTGGGATGTTCCCCAAAATTCAGCTTCAATTTTTTTTATACTCCACAAGTGAAAAAAAACCCCCAAAAATAGGATTTCAAGACAAATTTGGGACGAGTCAAGGCCAAGTTTTTCTGTTTTCCTTTGCTGCTCCATCCCTAAGGATGGAGTCAAAGTTGGAATCCTTTGTGAAAAGAAAAGTGGAAGAGAGGGAAAAAATAACTCCAGCTGGGAGGAAAAGGATCCAGGGCACACCTAAAACACTGGAAAAGAATTAAAACTCAGGGAAAAGGCTGGGAATGAGGAGACCCAGCAGAAAAAAAGCTGATTTTGGGGGCAGGAGGAAGAGCCAGAGGTTTAATCCAGATTCATTCGGGGTGAGAGGCTCCAGGCTGGGAGCAAAAGGAAAGCCACAACCTCCAGGCTCAGCCCCATCATTCCCAGTTAAATTCCCAATCCACGAGGGAAGGAACCTCTGGATTTGACAGGAACACACGTGCAATGGCAGGGATGGGAATTCCCTAATTCCCTGCTGGAAAGGGAGAAAGGGAGGGAAGAAATCCTGCAGTTTTGTTGTGTGACAGCAGGGACAACTCCTGAACTGCTCCAGAGCAGAGAAATCATGGAATCCCAGCAGGAATTCCAGGTGTTCTCCCAAAACACTGCCCTGAGTCCTGCAGGGATCCCTGGAGCATTCCCAGCTTCCCACAAACAACCCCAGGCCTGCACAGCCCATCCCAGCCTCATCCCAAGGGATTCAGGGGCTGCATTCCTGGTCCTCCCAGCCCATTCCCAGGTTATTTTGGCTTTTCCCTGGTTCTCATCCTTTCCAATACCAGGATCCCAAGTACAGAGCCCGGGCACAGCCCAAGGTGCAAACACCTTCCTCCCCCAGTTTAGGGAGGAATTTTGGGATTTGTCCCTACTTTTTAAGTTTCCAAACTCCACCCCAGCAGAACCTGGAATGTTCAGCCAACCCCTCCCTTTTCCTTATGCTCTGATCCCTCAGTTTTCTGGGAACACACACGTTCGTTGCTCCCAAACACCCACCCCCCACACCTCTGGGATCCCCCCCCATCCCCATTCCCGACGTTTTCCACCCAAAATGAGGCCGCTGCCACCTCCTCCAGGCCATGTGGGAGCAGGGGAGCTGTTCCAGGAGCACCCTGAGCCCAACCCTGCTCCAGAGGCAGCTCCTCATCCGCCCCTTCCTCGGCCGTGTCCTTGTCCAGAGACACAAATCCAGCATTCCCACGGGTCCTGCTCTACCCCAAGGGCTTCACAACCCCCATTCCAAGCCTGCTGGCTCCCCCAGCTCCCGAATTTCCATGGAAAAGAGCTGGATAAAGCCTGCCCTGATGCTGAGGGTGGGCTGGGACTCCTGGGCTGGGTGTCCTGGCACATACGTGGCATTTTGGGAGGGCTCTGGGGGGGGGTTTGGGGTCCCAACAGGGGTGGGCTGTGCCACCAGCAGGGTCCTGGCATGTAGGTGGCATTTGGGGACACTTTCTGGGGGGGTCTGGGGGCTTTGGGGTCCCCTCCTTCATGGGGGGGCTGGAACCCCCGAGAGGGGGGTGGGCTGTGCCTCCAGTGGGGTCCTGGCACCTGGGTGGCCTTTTGGGGGGCTCTGGGAGGTTCAGAGGGGTTTTGGGGTCCCAAGGGGGGTGGGCTGTGCCTCCAGTGGGGTCCTGGTACATGGGTGACCTGCTGGGGACACTTTTTGGGGGGGTCTGGGGGGTCCAGGGGGGTTTTGGGGTCCCCTCCTCCATGGGGGGACTGGACTGTGCCGCTCCCCCAACAGCTCCTGCTCTGCCTCCCCCCCTCCCCTTCCCGACACATCCCAGCTTCCAACCACAGCTTCCCAATCCCACCTCCTGCCGGCCCCACCCCAGGGGGGAGCTCTCCCCCAGCCCCAAATCCCCCTCCCACCCGGCAGCTCTCCCTGCCCGGCCCCCCCGGGATCGGCTGCCATCCCATTCCCGGCATTCCCGCAGCCTCTTCCCGCTCATTCTCCCCGCCAAAAAGTTGACACTTGTCCCTCCCCGCTCCCAGCTGGAGCCTGGATCCTCCCCCGCTCCTTCCCCGGCCTCCCCTTTTCCCTGGAGTTCCCTTCCCAAGAACAACTCCCTCCCCATCCCCCCCCGGGGTTTCCTTAAACCCCCGTCCCCAAAAATCCCCCTTTATCCCCCCAAAACGGGTCCCTGCTCCAGCCCTTCTTTCCCAAAGGCACTTCCACCCCACAGCTTCCCATTTTCCCAGCTCCCCATCACATATCCACTAATTCCCCTCTTCCAGCACCCCCAAGCACCCCCCTACACCCCAACACCCCCACTGAGCCCCTCTCTCAGCACCCAAAATCCCTTTCCCAGCACCCCAAACCCCTTCCAGTGACCCCTCCCGGCATCCCAATCCCAAAATGCTTCTCCCTGCACCCCCAATCCCACTCCACTGACCCCTCCTCCTCCAGCTATCCCAAATCCCTCCCCAACCCTTCTCCCACCCACTCCTCCACTATCCCCTCCCCAGCTCCCCAAATATCCCTCCACCGACCCCCCCCAGCATCCCAATCCCAAAATACTCCTCCCTGCACCCCAAACCCCCTCCACTGACCCCCCAGCATCCCAATCCTCCCAAAATACTTCTCCCTGCACCCCAAACACCCTTCGCTGACCCCCCCCTCCAACCACCCCAACGACACTTCCCCACCCCCTCCCCAGTCCCCCTAAACCCTTCCCCAGCCCCCCCAACCCCGCAGCACCCCAATCCCCCCAAAATACTTCTCCCTGCACCCCAAACACCCTCCACTAAACCCCCCCAACATCCAAATCCCCAAATGCCTCTCCCAGCCCCCCAAACCCCCTCCGCCGCCCCCCCTGCATCCCAATCCCCCCAAAATACTTCTCTCAGCCCCCCAACCCCCCTCCCCTGACATCCCGACACCCCAACCCCCCCAAATGCTTCTCTCAGCCCCCCAAACCCCTCCCCTGACCCCCCGACCCCCCCGCACCCCAATCCCCCCCAATCCTCCTCCCGCACCCCAAACCGCCTCCGCTGACCCCCCCCTCCAACCGCCCCAGAACGACCGCCCCTTCTCCAAACCTTCCCGCGCCCCCGTCCCACCCCCAAAACCCCTTCCACAACCCACCCCCAAAACCCCCCTACCGCCACCGACCGCCACCCCCCCCCGTTTCCCCCCCAAACCTTCCCCCCCATCAGCCCCCCCCATCCCCCGCCCGGCCCCCCCAAAAACTCCCCCCCCGTGCTTTAACCCCCCCCGCGCCCCACACCACACCCCCGTCCCCACGACCCCAACGCCCCCCCGCCTCCCCCCTCCCCGCGCCCTCCGCTCCTCCCCCTGGCCCGGCCCGGCCTTTGCACAGCCCCGCAGCCGGTGTGTGATGGAAGGGGCGCGGGGGCCGCTCGGGGGTCGGGGGGGGTCCGGGCCTGGCCTCGCTCCGTCCGCCGCCCTGAACAAAAGAGCCCGGCCAGCGCCGCTGCCCGCCGCGCACACCGCGCATGCGCCGCGCTCCGCGCGGGGCGCGCCGGGGCTCGTAGTCCCGCGCCCCGCGATCCCGCGGGGGGGGTTAGGGGAGGCGCGAAGCATGACGGGAGTTGTAGTCCGCGGCGCTCCGTGTGGCGGCGCCGCGGGGCATGGTGGGATGTGTAGCCCGCTGCAGCGCTGCACGATGGGAGGTGTAGTCCGCTGGAGCCACGCTGTGACTGAATTACACAATTAGGGTAATTAAGGGTGGGAAAAAAGCTCTGAGGGCATCGAGGCCAAGCTGTGACCCGTCAGCGCCCTGTACACCAGAGCAGGGCACTGAGCGTCCTGCGCAGCGGGGTGGGCGCCGTGCACCCGAGCTGTGCCAGCACAGCCAGGCAGGCCGAGCCAGAACAGCTCTGGGTGGGTTGTGCCCGGCTCGGTGATTTATTGAATTATTGAGATTGGAAAAGTCCTCTGCGATCCTTGGGTGCGTCCGTTAACCCAGCGCTGCCAACCGATGTCACCAAGGGCCACATCCACGAGCTTTCTGAGCACTCCCAGGAGTGGGGGCTCCGCCACTCCCTGGGCAGCCCCTTCCAACGTTTAACAACCCCTTCCGTAAAGAAATTCCTCCCGATGTCCAACTTGACCCTCCCCTGGCACGGCTGGAGACCTTTTCCTCTCCTTCTGTCCCTTGTTCCCTGTGCTGCCGCTCCCGAACTACAACCGGAGGCCCTGGGAACTACAACTCCCATCATGCCCCGCACCGGAAACTCCCGCCGCTTCCGCACTATAAGGGCGCGCGCCGCCGCCGCCGCTTAAAGGGGCCGCGTCCTGTGCGAGGTGAGGGGGCCCCGAAGGGGGGGGAGGTCCCGGGGCGGGCATGGGAAGGTCCGGGTGGGTCCCTCGGGGGTCCCTCAGGGGGGTCTTTGGGTTCCCCTGCAGCCCCCAGCTGAGGAACCGGGGCTGGCGTTGGGCCTCGCCCCCACCCGCGGCCTCTCAAGGCCCGGCCCGGCCCGTCCCCGGTGATTCCCCTTCCCCCGGCGGGGTCCAAATTTTGGGAGACCTGCGGGGATAGGGGAGGCTTTTCCTCCTCTGGAAGTGAAAACAGCCTCTAAAAATCCCCTTTCCCTCCCCCCCAGTGTTTTGCAGGGGGCTGCTTTACAGACCTGTTTTACAGGTGCCCGGGCGTGGCAGGAATAAATGGGATTAATCCCGATTTTTCCCCGCTGTGTGAGGGTTTTCCCTGAACTCGGAGATGTGCCACGGTTGAGAGGGAGCCCTTTCCTTCCCTGGCAGGGAAAACGACCTCCAAAAATCACTCCCAGTGTTTTGTGTCCGAGCGTGACAAGGAAAAGCAGGAATTAATAGGATTAATTCACGGTTTTCCCGCTGTGGAGCCTCTCCATGAGGCTCTTCCCTGAACTCTGAGATGCTGGAATGGCTGGGACATCCCTGCCAGCGACAGGGGGTCTAAATTTTGGGACACCAAGCTGACAAGGAGTCCTTTCCTTCCCTGGAAGGGAAAACAGCCCGGAAAAAAAAAAAAATCACCCCCAGTGTTTTCCAGGTGGCTGTGTCCAAATGGGACAAGGAAAAGCAGGGATAAGTGGGATTAATCCCCGTTTTTCCTCCTGTATGATGCCTTTCCCCCGGATTCTGAGATGCTGGAATGGCTGGGACACCCCTGCCAGGGCCAGGAGGGTCCAAATTTTGGGATACCTGTTGGGATGAGGGAATATTTTCCTCCCCAGATGGGATAACAGGGCTAGAAAGAAATCACCCCCAGTGTTTTCCAGGTGGCTGTGTCCAAACGGGACAAGGAAAAGCAGGAATAAATGGGATTCGTTCCCATTTTTCCTGCTGTGATGTTCCTCTACGAGGCTTTTCCCTGGATTCTGAGATGCTGGAATGGCTGGGACACCCCTGCCAGGGCCAGGAGGGTCCAAATTTTGGGACACCAGGTTGTGAAGGGAGCCCTTTCCTTCTTCCAAAAAAAAATCACTCCCAGTCTTTTATAGGTGGCTGTGTCCAAACGGGACAAAGAAAAGCGGGAATAAACGGGATTAATTCCCGGTTTTGCTGCCGTGGAGCCTCCCCGGGAGGGTTTTCCCCGAGTTGGAGCCTCGGCCAGGCTGGATCTGGGAAGGGAATGGAGCTGGGGGCGGGAGCTGGGAGCTGAACTCTGCTCTGTGCCGGTTGGGAAGGTTGGGAAAGAGCATTGCCGCTGTTCCCGAGGGCGGGAAGGGCAGTCAGGGACGTGTCAGCCGGGTGGATAAGAGATAACAAGGAACACTTTCCCTTGTCAGCACTGTGGGAACGGGAGCTGGGGGGGCAAATTCCACCTGGGATTTGCGGCTCCTCCAGCCCAAATCCTGGGCAGGTGAGAGGCAGCAGGGAAAACTTGGAATTGCAGGGACATAAACCCAACCCAGGGTAATCCCAGAGCCCCTTAAACCGAGGCTTTCCCCAAAATCCCTGGAAGAGGATTTGCTGGAAGTGCTCAGGGCTGATCCCGAGCTGCTCCTCCGGGGGCTGGAAGTTGATCATTAGGATCAATTAACTCCCAATAAAGCCTCAATGAGATTTTGTGTTTCTGGGGATGAAGGGACCTGAGCTTCCTGGGCTCCCTGCTCCCGGTTTTCCTGCATGGAGCCACCTCCCTCGGGGCTCTCTGCTCTTGGGAGCACCTTGGGAAACGGAATTCCCGTTCCTGGCAACCCTTTGCTCTTCCACTGGGCAATTCCCGATCCCTCCTCCTGCCTTTTGAAGCTGCTGGGGCAGAGCAGGAGCTCTAAAACCTCGGGATGATTCCACAGGGGTCATCCCAGCGTTTGTGGGGCCTGTGATCCCGTGGGATTTGGGAATGTGATGGTCCCAGCTGTGCTGCTGGACTGGTTCCGACTGGGAGCCCCGGGAAGTCTGGAAGCTCCCCCCAGAACTGACTCCTGGCACATTTGGCTCCTTCCCTCCTCTTTCCTCTTCCCTAAGGAGGATTTGGAAGCATCCTCGTTATTCCACAGATCAGGGAGGGCAGCTGAGCGTGGCTGGTGCTGGGGGGATGCAGAAGACCCCAATGTGCTGATCCTCCTAAATCCCTTTTTTTTCCCCCCAGATGTTTCCCGCTGGGCTCTGGCTCCTCTAGGATGTTGGAGAACCGAGAGGAAGTAAGACCCTTCCTGATGTGATAATTCCTGGCTGGAATTTGGCAGCACAGGGCGGTCTGGGCGAGGCGAAGGGTCCGTGGGGCAGAGCTGAGGGGCAGCTGGGGACAGGGCTGGGAATGTCTGGAGCTGCCTGTGGGAGCTGCCTGTGCTCTCCCTGGGACAGGGAAGCTGGAGGAGGTGGTGGGGGGGATCCCTGTCCCTGGAATGCCGGGGGGCTGAGCAGGGACACCCCTCCTGCCCCCCAGGAACTGACCACAGTGCGAGTGCAGGACCCCCGAGTGCAGAACGAAGGCTCCTGGAATTCCTATGTGGATTACAAGATCTTCCTCCACGTGAGTCGGGGCTGAGGGACAGGGGGTGGAGCTGCAGAGCTCGGGGGCTCACCCGTGGGATCATCCAGAGTGGGATCATCCAGAGTGGGATCATCCAGAGTGGGATCATCCAGCACGTGGGGATGGAAGGAGCCCCCACGGGAGAACCCTCTGCCTTCTGTGGGTCTGAGACCCGGCGTGGAGAGGATGGATCCCTGAGTCCCTCCTCTTCCTCCCTGCCCCTCAATCCCACTGACAATTCCCATGGAACTGTTGGGGTTTTGTTTTCCCAGACCAACAGCAAGGCCTTCACTGCCAAGACCTCATGTGTGCGGCGCCGCTACCGTGAGTTCGTGTGGCTGAGGAGGCAGCTCCAGAAGAATGCTGGCCTGGTGTAAGCATTCCTTGGCCTTCCTTTCCCTCCTCCTGCTGCTCAGGGAGACCTGAGAGAGCCTTTCTCCCTGCCCTGGGTGACCCCTGTGAGCTCAGAGCAGACGTGGAGAGAAACCCCGGGCAGGAGCAGGGGATACCCGAGCTCCCGGGATCCAAGGGCCTGGCAGGTGCTGCCACAGTGTCCCCAGGATCCAGGAGCCTGGCAGGTGCTGCCACAGTGTCCCCTGTGCTGGCACTGAGGTGACCTGAGCCCCGGTTCCCCCCCAGGCCTGTCCCAGAGCTGCCTGGAAAATCCACCTTCTTCGTGGGCAGCACGGACGAGTTCATCGAGAAGCGGAGACAGGGATTGCAGCAGTTCCTGGAGAAGTGAGTGAAGGATTCCTGAGGGCTGGAGGGGGGGATGGCAGGGAGGGGACAATCCTGCTGCAGGGCTGTGAAGGTGCCGTGAAGGGTGACTGCCCCTCCTCTCTCCGTGCCCAGGGTGGTGCAGAACGTGGTGCTGCTCTCGGACAGCCGCCTGCACCTCTTCCTGCAGAGCCAGCTCTCCGTGCCCGCCATCGAGGCCTGCGTGCAGGGCCAGGGCACCCAGACAGTGACAGAGGCCATCCTGCACTATGCCATGTCCAACTGTGGCTGGGTGCAGGAGGAGGAGGGTCGGCCCTCAACGCTGCCCGGGCGGGACCCGAGAGCCAGGTAATGCCAGGGCAGGGGGGAGGAGCATCCCAAGGGCATCCCCAGCTCCCTGGTGTGGGTCCCAGTGCAGCCTCAGTTCCCTGGTGTGGGTCCCAGTGCAGCCCCAGCTCCCTGGTGTGGATCCCAGTGCAGCCCCAGATCCCTGGTGTGGGTCCCAGTGCAGCCCCAGATCCCTGGTGTGGATCCCAGTGCAGCCCCAGCTCCCTGGTGTGGGTCCCAGTGCAGCCCCAGCTCCTTGGTGTGGATCCCAGTCCAGCCCCAGCTCCTTGGTGTGGGTCCCAGTGCAGCCCCAGTTCCCCAGTGTGGATCCCAGTCCAGCTCCTCACTGTGGATCCCGGGATGGCACCTGCTTGGCAAGTAATGGCCAGAGGAGGGAAGAACTGTGGATCCAGGGGCAGCCCCAGCTTCCAGCTGTGGATCCCAAGGGCATCCCCACCTCCTGCTGTGCCTCCCTGGAGGGAGCAG